CCGTGAAGGACTGAAATCCTGCGGCGCCCGTCAAGGTCCCCTGCTCAAGAAAGCACATATACATGCCCATCTGAAGTTTGCTAATGAAAATCATCACAACACGCTGCCCCTCTGGCGTGTTGATGCACAGCGTGGTGCAATGCGCATGCATCATGGCAGCTAACAAGTAAACCCGTAAAAACAAAGTTTTTCACTCTAAATCCTTTATATGCGTGGCGGCTAGAGTTATCTCGTCCTCTGGCTTGAGATGGCTGCAATCTATGGGTCAGATGATTGTCTGTCAGTATTAAGCAATTGGTAATTAAATATTTAATTAGTTTTCCCTAAACTGTGTAAAATTTTGGAAAAAAATTTTCACGAAAATGTATTGTCACACACAACGAGTCTGTGTGGAAAATGTCAGCTCGATTGGATCAAGGGAAGTGGGTTAAAAAACGAGCGAAAGATTTGCACGGTCCTAACCAAGCAAGCGAACTTAATATAAAGGATTTAAAAATATATTCGCCTGTGGAGGACGCGGGGATCGATCCCGCGACCTTTGGCATGGGAAGCGAGGGCGCTACTAACTGCGCTACTCCACCACGGCCTGTGGAGGGGTTACGCTCTGGGCTCTTGCACTGTGATGTTCAGCCAAAGCCATGAATGCGTTCTATTTGAATATATGTAAAATAATTTTTTTTTGCCTAAAAAGTGTAAAATTTTGGGAATTTTTTTTCACGAACAATAATTGTCTGGCACAACGAGTCTGTGTGTAAAATGTCAGCTCGATTGGATCACGGGAAGTGGGTTAAAAAACGACCGAAAGATTTGCACGGTCCTAAGCAAGCAAGCAAGCACGCGAACTTAATATAAAGGATTTAAAAAAGACTGACGGCCGCTCCTCAAGGCTTTTCAGAACAACCAGAAGTGTACTTCCCCAAGTAGATCCCATTGTCCGAAGAAGTTATTTGTTTTCAAGGGCGACTTTGCCAGAAGACAACATAAAAGCCTTCCGTAATTACATACCCATTGACTGGCCCAATCACACAGTCATGCAATCACACGTTCACTTGTCCACTCACTCACCCACGTATACACCGACGCACTCATTCACCCACCCTTCCACTCGCCCACCCTCCCACTCGCCCACTCATTCACCCATCCTCCCACTCGCCTACTCTCTCACACACACTTCAGAATCACTTCCCTGACTCATGCAAATTGGGCTAACAAACTCTTTTTAAAGGACGATCCCGCCGGCAATTGTGGGCAAGCTTTTTTGTCGTTGGCCCTCCCCAACTCTTTGCCTGCCATGAGACCCAGCAACAAAAATAACAAGAAAAGCCATTTTTTAGAAATGGCAAAAAAGAAAAATCTATATTTCAAGAGCCACTACAATGCAGGTCATTACAAGACGTGTGCATGTGTCTTGCAATTCTTTGGCAGCGTACTTAGCCAACCGTGTTAATCATAGATGCGGGAGAAGGAAATCAAACTAAATACAATGATCATCAGTTTTAATGAAATTAGTTTGTTAATCTCGATTATTTAGCAGCACATAAGTCTAGTGGCTTCCTAACCAAACCGGATCAGTCTTGCACTCAGACGGCAGCTGGTGGGATGCGTTGTGCATGGCTTGTACGAGTGACAGAACTGGCGAGACCTGCATTTCTGTATGGTGGTGTTTTTTGCAATCGGGTTGATGGGTTACATTTGGAAGGCATGTTTTAAATTCTGCATGAAGTTCATTTTTGTTTTTTTTTTCATGCGTCAATCGGTGCCCTGGACACCCTTTAGTTAATGAGAGGTTCCATCTGGGGGACATTTCCCAGGTGAATTTCTTTTTTTACCACAAACCACCCTCATTGCTTTGGAAACGGTGATCGTCTTGCATGCGGTTAACTTGCATAGGGGGTAAAAACAAGTCAGCTCAGCTTGTGAAAAAATCAAATTAATCCGTTAAGGAGCACAGAGTTGTGTGATGGGAGCAAATGTCGTTCTAGCAAAGACAACTCGCCCACCACTCGCACCAAATATAATTTATTTCAACGGTTCCTCTACTTTTTATTCATTTATTTACGATGTACATATTTTTCATGTTATATATTAATTGCGTGTTGTTTCACTTTATTTTTCCCATTCAGTGTTAGCTGCTTAGGTCGTGATGGGTTTTTTTCAATTTTTGTTCTATGCCCTTTCTACGGTCACCGTCCTGCTGTAGCATGCACCGATGCCTAATTTAGTGAGGGTGATAGTGAGGGAAAAAAGTATTTGATCCCCTGCTGATTTTGTACGTTTGCCCACTGACAAAGAAATTATCAGTCTATAGTTTTAATGGTATGTTTGTTTGAACAGTGAGAGACAGAATAACAACAACAAAAATCCAGAAAAACACATGTCAAAAATGTTAAAAGTTGATTTGCATTTTAATGAGAGAAATAAGTATTTGACCCCCTCTCAATCAGAAAGATTTCTGGCTTCCAGGTGTCTTTTTTACAGGTAACGAGCTGATATTAGGAGCCACACTCTTAAAGGGAGTGCTCCTAATCTCAGCGTGTTACCTGCATAAAATACACCTGTTCACAGAAGCAATCAATCAGATTCCTAACTCTCCACCATGGCCAAGACCAAAGAGCTCTCCAAGGATGTCAGGGACAAGATTCTAGACCTACCCAAGGCTGTAATGTTCACAAGACCATCGCCAAGCAGCTTGGTGAGAAGGTGATAAAAGTTGGTGCGATTATTCGCAAATGGAAGAAACACAAAAGAACTGTCAATCTCCCTCGGCCTGGGGCCCCATGCAAGATCTCATCTCGTGGAGTTGCAATGATCATGAGAACGGTGAGGAATCAGCCCAGAACTACACGGGAGGATCTTGTCAATGATCTCAAGGCAGCTGCGACCATAGTCACCAAAAAAACAGTTGGTAACACACTGCGCCGTGAAGGACTGAAATCCTGCGGCGCCCGAAAGGTCCCCTGCTCAAGAAAGCACATATACATGGCCATCTGAAGTTTGCCAATGAAAATCATCACAACACGCTGCCCCTCTGGCGTGTTGATGCACAGCGTGGTGCAATGCGCAGGCATCATGGCAGCTAAAAAAGACTGACGGCCGCTCCTCAAGGCGTTTCAGAACAACCAGAAGTGTACTTCCCCAAGTAGATCCCATTGTCCGAAGAAGTTATTTGTTTTCAAGGGCGACTTTGCCAGAAGACAACATAAAAGCGTTCCGTAATTACATACCCATTGACTGGCCCAATCACACAGTCATGCAATCACACGTTCACTTGTCCACTCACTCACCCACGTATACACCGACGCACTCATTCACCCACCCTTCCACTCGCCCACCCTCCCACTCGCCCACCCTCCCACTCGCCCACTCATTCACCCATCCTCCCACTCGCCTACTCTCTCACACACACTTCAGAATCACTTCCCTGACTCATGCAAATTGGGCTAACAAACTCTTTTTAAAGGACGATCCCGCCGGCAATTGTGGGCAAGCTTTTTTGTCGTTGGCCCTCCGCAACTCTTTGCCTGCCATGAGACCCAGCAACAAAAATAACAAGAAAAGCCATTTTTTAGAAATGGCAAAAAAGAAAAATCTATATTTCAAGAGCCACTACAATGCAGGTCATTACAAGACGTGTGCATGTGTCTTGCAATTCTTTGGCAGCGTACTTAGCCAACCGTGTTAATCATAGATGCGGGAGAAGGAAATCAAACTAAATACAATGATCATCAGTTTTAATGAAATTAGTTTGTTAATCTCGATTATTTAACAGCACATAAGTCTAGTGGCTTCCTAACCAAACCGGATCAGTCTTGCACTCAGACGGCAGCTGGTGGAATGCGTTGTGCATGGCTTGTACGAGTGACAGAACTGGCGAGACCTGCATTTCTGTATGGTGGTGTTTTTTGCATTCGGGTTGATGGGTTACATTTTGAAGGCATGTTTTAAATTCTGCATGAAGCTCATTTTTGTTTTTTTTCCCATGCGTCAATCGGTGCCCTGGACACCCTTTAGTTAATGAGAGGTTCCATCTGGGGGACATTTCCCAGGTGAATATCTTTTATTTCCACAAACCACCATCATTGCTTTGGAAACGGTGATCGTCTTGCATTCGGTTAACTTGTATAGGGGGTAAAAACAAGTCAGCTCAGCTTGTGAAAAAATTAAATTAATCCGTTAAGGAGCACAGAGTTGTGTGATGGGAGCAAATGCCGTTCTAACAAAGACAATTCGCCCACCACTCGCACCAAATATAATTTATTTCAACGGTTGCTCTACTTCTTGGTTCTTTCGGTAAAGTCACTTAGAATGGAAATTATAAAATAATAAAAATGAAACATAATAAAATAATTCTCACGACGTTTCGGCCACAACACAAGCAGCCGTCCTCAGGTGAAGAACAGGTCTGTCGAGAAGACAGAGTCCGAAGGTTCCTCTACTTTTCATTCATTTATTTACGATGTACATATTTTTCATGTTATATATTAATTGCGTGTTGTTTCACTTTATTTTTCCCATTCAGTGTTAGCTGCTTAGGTCGTGATGGGTTTTTTTCAATTATTGTTCTATGTCCTCTCTACGGTCACGGTCCTGCTGTAGCATGCACCGATGCCTACTTTAGTGAGGGTGATAGTGAGGGAAAAAAGTATTTGATCCCCTGCTGATTTTGTACGTTTGTGTTCACAGATGGTGCAGTGGTGAGGGGCGGGCGTGGGGGTAGCGCGTGGGTGGGTGGGGGGAGAGGAGGAGAGGTGACGTGGTAACGTCACAGCGTTGGGGGAGCGTGCGTGGAGACGTCACCACGTCCATGTCGCGGCAGCAGATAACTTGAACAGCTCGGACATTGTTGGTGCCTTTTGTGTTTGGCGCCATCTCTTTAATTGTTTATTAATTTGTAGATTTAATTTGCTTGGCAGTGGCTGTGTAGATTATTTGGTCCTCGTGTTTAATTAATGAACAGAGTTGCAGGATGCAGTGAGCACTACATTGTTGTTTGTGTTTTTATTGTATAATCGACTATACAAGAGTTACAACGCCAATGTCGTACGTGTACATTTTTACTTTTTTAAATTAATATTATTACTGTATCGCTCCCACAATGCATGACACCACCTATGGACAAACACATCCCAGTTCACCATTACTAATCACTGCACTCCTACACTATAGTCGCACTCCTCTGCCAGGGTGAATACATCCATGTTAGCTTCACACATACACAGAGCAATATCTATCCCCCCCAACCCCTATGGTTGTTTACGCCCCCCCCCCCTCCGTTGTGATGGAGAGCCACCAGCCAGTCACGGGCGTGGCACTGCGTGTGACGGTGACGAGGGTGGCGAGCGCCGTGCGTCGTGGCGTCTGCCCTGTTCACGTTCACATCTCTCAGGACGCACCACTCAGATCCACGATCCTCACTGAGTCATCCCACACTGCCAGCCCAGGATGTAGGGATTGAGTGAAGGTTTGGTGAAATGAGTGCAACGGCGCCATGGAGTCGGCGCTGTAAAACGACAGCAGCCCCGCGTCCCAGTCCAGATGAACCCCAACTCTCAGAAAAGGCTCCGGCACCGACAGTGAGGTCGCTACCCCACCATGCATCACTGAGAAGCTGTTGCCATCTTTCTGGAGACACCAGGAGACGTAACTCACTCCCAGGACACATTCACTACCACTCCCTCTCCGTGGGATCGTCCCGTACGCGACTCCAACCCGACACAGCCTCGCGCTCCCCACGTCCACCTCCCAGTAGTGCTGACCCGACGAGAAGCTCTCAGAGCACAGGGCTTGTGGCCAGTACTCAAAGCGGTGTGGGTGATGGTGTCGACCCTGGGGGACACCGCTCCATGTCACCGTCCTGAGGTCCGAGGAAATCTGGAGGTCGTCGTGGGCTGAGTTTGTGTCCAGAGTTGGTGAGCGTCCATCTGTGGTATGGACAGCGACGACGCTCGCACAGCGGTCACGGCGATGCGTGTGCAGTAGCGGCACGAGCAGTGCCTGAGCAGTGCACGTGGCGCGTACACACACATGCTGGTGTTGTGTTGTCTGTTGTGTTGTTGTGGTTATACCGCAGTGTATGATACATTGATACGAAACACTGTGACTATCACGTGTATTACAAATGCATACATGACTAATATTCATTAGTATTTGTATACACAAATTAATATTCGTTAGTGTTAGTGTACATACACTAATATTCGTAAGTATCTGTGTACACGTGTAGTGACTTCGCTCATGTCACTGTATTGTGCCGGCCTAAGAGGGGCACGGCATGCGATGTACTCACATCGCGGACATCACGTATGTAGCAACATCGTGAATACTTTTTGGTTCTTTGGTTAAAGTCGCGTAGGAAGAAGATTAATACATCACGACGTTTCGATCGCAACACAAGCAATCGTCATCAGGTGGGACAACCAGAGCAAGAAAAAACTGCTGAAATAGTTTTTTCTTGCTGTGGTTGTCCCACCTGATGACAATTGCTTGTGTTGCGATCGAAACGTCGTGATCTATTAATTTTCTACCTACGTTACTTTATTGAAAGAACCAAAGAGTATGGATCCCTGCAGTCACAAAAGCTTCAAATCAAGATTTAACATCGTGAATGTCACCGAGCAATGCCGGCTCCAGCAAGGCACGGCATGCAATGATTGTCATCGCGGACACCCTGTAGGTGGGTGTAGTACCAGCCCTAGTGAGGGCTTGGTGAGCGCTGGGATAGCGCAATGGTACCACGCGTGGCATGCAGTGCTGCCTCCTACCGGAGGAAGTGGGAGAGTGTCAGCCAAGGTACAAGGTTACCCCTGGGTCATGGAACTGGTTGACCCCTAAGGCATGTGACCGGTAAAGTCTACATGGGGCCCCAGGTAGGGGCTAGAGGGTGGTCACGGGCCGGGGTGGAAAGATCCTACGGGAAGCGTCGAGAGAGAGCTAGGACTCTCTCGAAGTTGGGCGTGGCCAAAGGCGGGGCCGGCCACGACTCGGGAGCATATTAGCGGGGTCCCTACAGGGACCGAGGTTTAGTGTTGCTACCGTCATCTGAAAATCTATGTTCACGTCGAAGAAGAGTCTCCAACACGTGGACCCGGACCCGAGCCTAGGTCCGATCCATTGTAGCTAACTCCCAGTGTGTAAATGTAGTTAGCCGGGTGGTCCACCACCCTAGGCTGTTATCTGGTAAAGGGTCAGCTACCCCTTTGTGTATTACGTGTTGGTGTAATAAATGTGTTGCCTCTAAGAAGTATGTCTGCGACTCAGTTGAATCCACTACACACGTACTAATATCCGTTAGTATATGTGTACATATACTAGTATTCGTTAGTTATAGTGTACAAATTCATATTCGTTAGTATCTGTGTACACATACAGGTATTCGTTTGCATTAGTGTACACATACTCATCAGAGTAACAGCACAATCTCCGATAGCCTATAATCGGTACTAGCTAGAGGGCTGAATTTTATTTTGCTGTCACCCCCAAACACATCCCAGTGGATGATATAATTGTCCAGGTAGATGTATCCCTCAAGGCTTGGGAGATATACAAGCAGACGTGGCAAGATCTGAAATTGCTACCATCCTTAAACATGCTAAGAAACCCATTAGTAACATCAGAAAAGACGAGCGCTCTGAACTCGCCAAATTGAAAAAGAGAGAGGACATAGTCTTCCTCTCAGCCTACAATATCAATGCTACTGTCATCATGGATAAAACCACATACAACAACAAAATCCAGGCAGTTACATCAAAATTTAAAAAGATCCTACCAACTGCCTGGCTACAAAAACCAACAATATCATTAACAATTCGACTTCTCTAATCAAACCATTCAAGCGGCTCTCCTTAAAACCTTCTGCTACTAGACCACCCAGATTCTATGGTCTTCCAAAAATCCATAAAGAAGGTACTCCACTTCGGCCCATCGTTACCACTATCAACTCACCTACCTACAAACTGGCCCGATTTCTGTCTGAGACCTTGCTTACATTCACGGGCAAGACTACCTCAATAGTACTTAACTCAGCTCACTTGGTCTCTCTAATCAAGGGCATCTCCCTGTCTCCAGATTTGCTTGTCAGCTTTGATGTAGTCTCTCTGTTCACCAAGGTTCCTGTGCCTGACACCTTAGAAATAATTGAAGACTTGGTCCAACATGGACTGAATCCTGATGTACCAACTTTGGTTAGGCACTGCCTTACCAACACTTTACCTGGAATGGTACTTTCTACAAAAAAAATGAAGGTACCCCCATGGGTTCCCCCTTATCACCAGTGATAACGAATGTTTTCATGGCGAAATTTGAAACAGATGCCATTCAGACATCCACCCTATGTCCTTCCTTGTGGAAGACATACGTGGATGAACAGTGGTGATGATGCCAGCACCACGATGTGAACGCCACTCTCACAGCGTCTCTCTACAAACAAGACGCCTGTACCACAGCCGCCACAGCCTCGTACACTCTCACATCGACGCACAGACATTGTGTGTCACAGCCTCGCACACTCTCACATCTACGCACCCACATTGTGTGTCACAGCCTCGCACACTCTCACATCCACACACAGACATTGTGTATCACAGCCTCGCACACTCTCACACCCACACACACAGACATTGTGTGTCACAGCCTCGCACACTCTCACATCCACACACAGACATTGTGTGTCACAGCCTCGTACACTCTCACAGCCACGCACAGATATTGTGTGTCACAGCCTCGCACACTCTCACACCCACACACACACATTGTGTGTCACAGCCTCGCACACTCTCACACCCACACACACATACATTGTGTGTCACAGCCTCGCACACTCTGACACCCACGCACACACATTGTGTGTCTCAGCCTCGCACACTCTCACACCCACGCACAGACATTGTGTGTCACAGCCTCGCACACTCTCACACCCACGCACAGACATTGTGCGTCTCAGCCTCGCACACTCTCACACCCACGCACAGACATTGTGTGTCTCAGCCTCGCACATTCTCACATCCACACACACATATTGTGTGTCACAGCCTCGCACACTCTCACACCCACACACACACATTGTGTGTCACAGCCTCGCACACTCTCACACCTACACACACATTGTGTGTCTCAGCCTCGCACCCTCTCACACCCACACACACAGACATTGTGTGTCACAGCCTCGCACACTCTCACACCCACACACACAGACATTGTGTGTCACAGCCTCGCACACTCTCACTCCCACACACAGACATTGTGTGTCACAGCCTCGCACACACTCACACCCACACACACACATTGTGTGTCACAGCCTCGCACACTCTCACACCCACAGACACAGACATTGTGTGTCACAGCCTCGCACACTCTCACATTCACACACACATTGTGTGTCACTCCGCTGCTGGATGAGCGCCTTCTCGCGCCATGCGTGTCCTTGTTGGGGATCGTGAGCGTAGACGCGTAGAGGTGAAGTACAACAATGGTTCACGCTGAACTGCCCTCTGCTGGTGTGATGTGTAAACATTTGTCACGAGAGATACAAAGGCGGCCAGGCGTGGTGCTGGCCACCCACCCCCTCGTGTGCCGTGCCAGCCTTCATAGGTGCTGCTGCTCGCTAACAGCACTTGCCCCAGTACACAGCAGTAGGGTTTAGTAGAATATTGAAACTGTTAAACTAATTCTATTTCACCAGGTAGAGCCCACTGATCCATCTAGCTCTCTTTCAGAGTTTGCGTCTCTGTCCCCGTGGTGGCGTGAATTTTTCCCTGGATCCTCGCGTTTTTCCCTCCACTTTTAGAATCAATTTGCATCCAGATGATTTGGGTGCTGCTCTAAATATCCACGTGATGAGCAACTTCGTAGAGCTGTCATTTGTGATAGTCAGGTCGCTTCCGAAAAAAGAGCGATAGGGTTCAGTGGGTTCCTTACCTGGTAAAATAAAATGAAATGTTCATGAAGGCGGGGAGCACATAAGTGCAGGGCAACAGCGAGACACGGGGGTGCAATACTGAGGAACTCACAGACGAGAGGCAGGAGTCTGTGCATGGCCCTTTCAAGGGACCGGATCGTGGTGGCGTCCAGTGAAGTGGGAGGTGGGGGTGCAGATTCCTTTGGGATCTCTCTCCTGGGACAACCACCAACAGCATCACACAGCCTCGTTTAACCACAGCATTGGAACACTCAGCATCCATAGCAAACACAGCAAGTGTCTAACACATAGACCGTGTCTCAGACACAGCCCGTGTCTCACACACAGTGTCTCACACATAGCCCGTGTCTCACACATAGACCGTGTCTCTCACACAGCCAGTGTCTTACACACAGCCCGTGTCTCACACGCAGCCCGTGTCTCACACATAGCCCGTGTGTCACACACAACAACAACAACCGCCATTCGCCACTAAGTGGCGGTGACGTCACCACGACGCTTGTGCCAGGCCATGTGCACCTGTGTCTCACACACACCCAGTGTCTCACAAACAGGCAGTGTCTCACACACAGCCCGTGTCTCGCACGCAGCCCGTGTCTCACACACAGCCCGTGTCTCACACAGCCAGTATATCACGCACAGCCTGTGTCTCACACACATCCCGCGTTTCACACACAGTTCGTGTCTCACACAGAGACAGTATCTCACACAGTCAGTGTCTAACACCCACAGCCCGTGTGTCTAACACACAGAGCCCGTGTGTCTAACACACACAGCCCGTGTGACTAACACACACAGCCCGTGTGTCTAACACACACATCATGTGTTGTGAGTGTTTAGCCGTGAAACGTTAAGGATCTGTACCTGCGCGTCTCCTCCAGGTGCCCCTGTGAAAGAGAGAGAGATCATGAGTGAAGTCTCTACCCTTGGACCACAAGCCCCCCTGCCACTGCCCGCTCTGTTGTTCTGGACACCCAAACGGCGTCTCCACAGAGTCTCTCCCCACCTGCAGGAAGGCGAGCGAGTCCCTCTCGTGCAGCAGAGTGCGCAGGCGAGCGGCCGCCGCCTGGAGCTCGCTGATCTCCTGCTCGTGACGAGCAATTTCTTCCTCGATCCGGGACAGCAGTTCGCGCTCCTTCACGGCCAGGCGACGTAGAGCCTCCCTCTCGTCCTCGTCCAGAGCCTTCCTTAGGCGGGTGAAATTGCCCGTGATGCGACCCCTGATCCCGGCCACCGATTCCTGCTGAGACGCGGGGACCACGGTTGGCTCCCTGAGCCATGAGCCACTCCGTGTGTGCGTGTAGTCGCCGTGGTGGCTCGGAGATGTTGACTCCTTCACCTGGTATACAGCAGGTCGGGGTTTGATACTGACCCTGACGCCTGCTGTATATTTGGAGTTCGTACGCTCTGTGATTGTGTGGATTTTTCTCTGGGTCCTCCGGTTTTTGCCTCCACATTTAAGTTCAACGTAGTGCGTTGAGAGTATTTGCCTGCTACCAGTTTCCACATTACATTCAGCCAGTTTGTTGGGCTATCATTGGTAATAGCCAGGTCGCGTCTGGAAAGAACTACACAGCTCATTCCTGGTGAAATAAAAAATATTTTAGTCTATTGGTCTCTATGGGTCTCTATGTCTCTCTCTGGGTCTCTCTGTATCTCTATTTCCGCTTATGTATCTCTATGCATGTCTAGGTATCTCATTTGGTCTGGTATCTAGATCTATGGGTGTCTATGTATCGATATATGTACATTTGGCTGCTGCTATAAATTTGCACGTGATAATGATGATGTCAACCACTTGGTGGAGCGCTAATTTGTCATAGCCATGTCACTGGTAAAATAGTAAAATTATATTCCCTAGTGGTGCAACATGCCCCAGTGACGAGGCGCCCATGGAACTGAGTCGACCCATGCCATGGGCACAAGAGGGGTGCGGCTCTTTTCTTGTTTCTCCCCTACAGGGCGCTGGGGTCGTGGATTTTGAGACTCGGACACACAGGGTCCGGTGGGGCCCCCCTCCTGAGTCCGACGAGATGTGTGGCGAGATGTTAACTTCCCCGCCTGGTATACAGGGATCGTGGGTTCGACCACCACCCTGATGCCTGCGTGGATTTTTCTCCGAGTCATCTGGCTTTTCACTCCACATCTCGAATCTGTGTAAACCAGGTCGGGTTTCCCACAAGTCCGACTCGGGTTTAGAGTTCAAGGCATTCGTTTTCTGCAGAGACCAAGAGTGTCTCCGAGATCAAGCAAGCGTTTAGAGTACCGTATTTAGTGTCCTTGGCTGCTATCAATTTCCACCTGATAAGCCATTTAATTGAGCTATCATTCGTGATATTCAGGTTCCTTCTGCAAAAGAGCTACAAGGCTCAGTGGGGTCTTACCTGGTAAAATCAAAATAGTTGAGTCTATGGGTCTCTATATATCATTATTTGTCACTATGGATCTCTATATGTCTCGATGTATCTCTATGTGTCCCTACCTATTACTTTGTCCTTATATATCTCTATGGGTCTATATATCTCTATGTATCCCTATGTATGTCTGTGGGTCTGTAGGTATTTATTTGGGTCTCTTTGTACCTCTCTTCATCCCTATGTATCTCTATGGGTCTGCTGCTATATATTTCCACGTGATGATGATGTCAGCCACTTTGTTGAGCTGCTATTGTTTGTGGCAGCCAGGGTAGCTTCTGAAAAATCTACACAGCTCAGTGGGGCCTAACCTGGTAAAATAACAAGTATAACCCGTAAAAACAAAGTTTTTCACTATAAATCCTTTATATGCGTGGCGGCTAGAGTCCTCTCGTCCTCTGGCTTGAGATGGCTGCCACCTATGGGTCAGATGATTGTCTGCAGTATTAAACAATTGGTAATTAAATATTTAATTTGTTTTCCCTAAACAGTGTAAAATTTTTGAAAAAAATTTTCACGAACATTAATTGTCTCGCACAACGAGTCTGTGTGCAAAATGTCAGCTCGATTGGATCACGGGAAGTGGGTTAAAAAACGACCGAAAGATTTGCACGGTCGTAAGCAAGCAAGCAAGCACGCAAGCACGCAAGCAAGCAAGCAAGCGAACTTAATATAAAGGATTTAATAAGTATAACCCGTAAAAACAAAGTTTTTCACTCTAAATCCTTTATATGCGTGGCGGCTAGAGTTCTCTCGTCCTCTGGCTTGAGATGGCTGCCACCTATGGGTCAGATGATTGTCTGCAGTATTAAACAATTGGTAATTAAATTTTTAATTTTTTTCCCTAAACAGTGTAAAATTTTGGAAAAAAATTTTCACGAACATTAATTGTCTCGCACAACGAGTCTGTGTGCAAAATGCCAGCTCGATTGGATCACGGGAAGTGGGTTAAAAAACGACCGAAAGGTTTGCACGGTCGTAAGCAAGCAAGCAAGCACGCAAGCAAGCACGCAAGCAAGCAAGCAAGCGAACTTAATATAAAGGATTTAAAAATAGTTGTAATTTAAATAAACTCTGGTGACGTGATTAGGGACGGCATGAGGTGCAGCTGTGCCCTGTTCGTGCCTCTGCATCCATGCCGGTGCGCGACCTCCAGTGCAGTGCAACAGCTGCACCGCAGCTCCACCCCGACAATCCGTGGCACTCTCTACATCTTTTTTTTGCCACAGGAGTGGAAGATGCAATGCCGAGTAACCCGACCTTGCGGCAGACTCGCCGATGTAGTTATCGAATGCGGTAAACGTGTAGTTAATGTTGAGTTCGAAAATGAATGATAGGGTTAGGAAACATCAAACTTATGAAGCAGCACAAAGTTTACTTGAATTAATTTTCATCTCCATGACTTCCGCGCTGGGTGGAGGTCACAGGAGTCAAAGAGCCAGACTCGGACACGGTACCTTCGCCTCCTTGCGAGCTGCCTCCATCTGCTTCACGGACTCCTCCACCTCCTTCCTCTTCTCCTCAACCGCTCGCGTCTCCTCTTGTACGTGTGTCTGTAGTGAGAGACGAGACGTCACCATGGGGAGACTCCAGCCCCCTGAGCCACCCCTCACACCGCCCTTCCCTCCACACTGACCCCTTCACAGCGAAGGCCCTCATCTCCACGTTGCCTTTGTACGGCGACTGAGACGGGGGCACGGGGAGTAAGCAAGCTGATGCCTCGTTGTATCAGCAGCCAGTGGGAGCCTGCTGGCTTAGTGTCCGTACCGACTCGGACCCATGGGCCCATGTGCCCACAGCTGTCTAGTTTTAAAGATAAATCTACTAGAATTGTTTCTCAGGTGGCTGTGATATCATCCTCAAATATCTATCCAATTAATTACTTTATACGGCAATTATATTTAATGAAAGCCTAGGATTCAGTACATCCTGAGGCTCTTTCCTGAAATGCAAACCAGAGATTAGCAGAGACAAAGATTCAATAGGGAGAGCATGAACACACGATAGTTTTCTTTATCAGATGTTATGTAGCCGAGTGACAGCATTGGTCAGATCGTGTTATGGTGTCTCGCGCTGAGGGTCTCACCTTCCGTGTCTCATGCTCGTCCTTCAGTGTCAGGACCTTGTGTCCTGCGTGTTCACCTGTGATAGTGCAGGTAGAGCAGACCAGGCTGCTGTCTACTGTGCAGTAGAATTCCAGCTCCCTGCTGTGATTAGGGCATCTTCTCTCGTCCAAGCTCGCAGAGGGATCCACCACAGCGTGGTCTCTCAACCTGGGATTCCCTAGGTGAGGCCTAAAGTGAGAAAAACAGTATGACATCTCGCATCTCAGGCAAGTCTTCACTGCAGGAGTCTGGCCATCACTGCAGATGTCACACACGACAGCCGTGGCCATCGCGTCTCCAACTCTGAGCTGCTCTGCCAGGTTGTCGAGGGCCACGTTCCTCTTCAGCTGGGGTCGCACAGGGAAGGCCGCTCGGCACTGTGGGCAGCTGAAGCTGCTCGCTGTCTTCCAGGCGGCCTCCAGGCACCGGAGGCAAAACGAGTGTCCACAGCTGAGCGTGGAGGGGCAGACGAACGTGTCCAGGCAGATGGAGCAGCGCATCTCACTATCCACACTCTCACTGGGAGTCGCGCTAGCCATGACTCATAGGCTTCGCTGAGATCGCTCACTGTGTGGCTCAGAGAGACGCTGAACCAGGACTTCTTATAGCGACAGCGAAGAAGGAAGTCGTCACTGACATCACGAGACACTGCCTGGAATGTGAAACCATGCCCCTAGGTACGCGACAAAAGCCTCAAGGTGAACACGGATATTGTACACACATTGACATTTAAAGAAAGGAGTGTTGTAAATATAAATCGGCGTGGCTCAGCTGCTGTGGCTCATTCATGTGATGAGTATCGAGAGAAAAACCCATCTTTCCAGAGCTCAGCGCACAAGTTGGTGTCTCTGGTAAGACATAGCAATGGATTGGGTGCTACCGTGGCTACGATATGTTATCTCGCTCGCATTATGGCTGCTTTATATTTAAAGTCTTTCTCTCTCTCCCCTTGGTCGCGGAAAAATGTATCTGGGTCCTCCGGTGTACCCTCCATTTAGAATTATCATCGCGCATTCATATAATTTGGCTGAAATCAATTTCCATATAAGCCACTTCATTGTAATAGCCAGGTCGCTTCTGACAAAGAGCCACATAGCACAGTGAGCCTTGCCTGGTAACATAAAAATAGTTTTTGTAGTTGTAGATATCTCATGATGTGCTGTAATTCCATCGCAGTGTAATTACTCCAAGGTGATGAGTTTCTTGAATGTCATCGTGGCATCCGAGATGGAATTTGTAGCCTCTCGTGACCCATCCTGGAATCTTGAGCCTTTTGCCAGCAGTTTGAATCTATCACCAACTCTACCTGCCTCCATCACCCAATGATGTCGATGTCACCATCTCTCACTCTCACCTTGTCCGAGATTGGAGATTCCCATTCCGACCATTCCCAGCAACACCCACCACCTATTTCACCTGCGTTGTTTCACATTCGCATGATCGGCTATTGTACACGCGTCCTCCATCCGTCTTTCTACATCCCCCTCCCCTCCCCAAGTGGTCCGGGCTTTGCTCATCACACCACCTCTAGCGTGTTGAGGCACAGTGTGGTGCGATGCACAGGCATCTTGGCAGGTAAACAAAGCCTGATGGCTGCTCCTCAAGGTTTATCAGAAGAACCAGAAGTTAACTTCCCTGATTCCAGCCCATTGAGATAAAACGTTATTTTTCTAGGGGGTTTCGGCTGGCAGACATCATCAAATAATTACACAAGTACACAAAGGCAAAGATTTCCTGTATAACCTTAACAGACTGTTGGGGCAAGTGCTGTTAGCGAGCACCTATGAAGGCCGGCACTGCATACAAAGGGGTGGGTGGCCAGCACCACGCCCAGCCGCCTTTGTCTCTCTAGTGGCAATGTTTTTATACACCACACCAGGTACTCATTTGAGGCTGAGTTGATCTCAGGGAGGCCCAGTACCAGTTCAGATAATCGTCACTGGTGTTGGCCGTGAGCAAAAATCAACCTCAGGTGTCCAGGTTCATAGCACAGCATGCTAACCACAACAATTGCACACCCACTCACACACACACACTCGCCCACACACTCACCAACTCACTCACCAATACAACCACTCACTCATCCACTCTCCCACTCACCTACTCTCCCACACACTTCAGAATCAGAAGTGTACTTCCCTGGCGAGAGCCCACTGAGCTACGACCCGGCCTGCAGATGTGGCCAAGTTTTATCGTTGGTGGCTTGGCCCTCCCCCATCTCTGCCCGCCACGAGTGACCTGGGCAACCAAAATAACAAGCAGAGCCATTTTTGTCGAATTCGGTAAAAAAAACTCAACATTTCAAGAACTACCACAATGAATGTAAATATGAGACGTGTATATATATGTAGTGCTGAACTTCTTTCACGTGGTACGGAGCCAACCATGCTAATCGAAGGTGTATAAAACAACAAACTAAAAACAACAAGAAGCAGTTCTACAGAAATTAATTCGTCAATTTAGATTATTTAAAAGTGCAAAGCTCTGGTGGCTTACTAACTAAACCGGATGAGTCTTGCGTTCAGGTGACAGCGGGTGGGATGCGTTGTGCATGGCTCGTACGAGTGCCAGAACCGGCGAGACCTGCATTTCTGTATGGGGGTGTTTTTGTTGCAATCAGGTTGATGGGTTGCATTTTGAAAGCATTTTTTTCAATCTCCATGATACTCATTCTTTATTTTTGCCATGCGTCAATCGGTACCCTGGGCACCCTCTGCTGCTAATGAGGTTCCACCTTGAGGGACATTTCCCAGATGAAGTATTTTAATATTTTTACCACACTCACTGCTTTGAAAACGGTGGTCATACAACGCGCGATTAACTTACATCGGGGCCAAAAACAAGTCGGCTCAGCTTGTGGCAAATCAAATTACATCCATCCATACTCTTGGTTCTTTTGGTAAAGTCACGTAGGTATAGAATACAATTAATTAAATCACGACGTTTCGGGCGCAACACAAGCGTCCGTCATCATGCGCCCGAAACGTAGTGATTTTATTTATTTTATTAAAGACCGAAAGAACCAAGGGTATGGATCCCTGCAGTCACGAAAGCTTCAAATCTAGATCAAATTACATCCGTTAAGGAGCATAGAAATACGCGATGGGAGCAAATGTAGTTCAAACTAAGAGAACTCGTCCACCACTGGCATCCCAGTTTTATTGTTTTTCAACGGTTTAACTATTTATTATTCATTTTATTTACGACGTATATATTTCTCACGCTATATATCAATTGCGTATGGTTTCACTTTATTTTAGCCATTCAGAGTTAGCCGCTGAGGTCGTGACGGGATTTTCATTTCATTATTGTTGTTCTATGCCCTCGCTACTGTCACTTAGTTTCTGTGGTTCCACGACTGCGGGTTCTGTCACCGTCACTACCCTGTCTACTGCACAGTCGACGTTCACCATCCTCGGACATCATTCACAATGGTAGGCCCATTGTTCACGAGTGTCACTTTTCAAAATTCCCAAAAAATGACACCGCAAATTTTTACTATTTTTAATTTACTCAGTAATGTCGACAGACAAATTCCATCTCAGATGCCACGATGACATTTAAGCAAGTTGGTATTTTGGGGGAATTACCCGGAAATGAAATTACAGGACATCATGATATATCTACAACTATACCAACTATTTATTTTACAAGATAAGGCTCACTGAACCATGTATCTGTTTTTAAGAAGCAACCTGGTTATCACATACGATAGCTCAACGATGTGGCTTATTATTACGTGGAAATATACAGCAGCCAAATACTCTGACCATGTGTTGATTCTAAATATGGAGCGAAAAACTGGAGGAATCCAGATAAAAATCCACAAGATCAAAGAGAGAGAGCGAGAGCATGCGAACCCACGACCTCGTGCATATACGGCAAGTGAGATAACATCTCACCACCACGGCAAGATGTTATCTCAATTGTGATTGGACACAGCACCTGCAATCATCGACGGCTACAGGCAGACCCCTGCACCAGTTTAAGCTTGCAGATGAGACTCATTCTGGTCTCTCCAGTTCTCGGCAGGTTAAACTTTGAATTCCTTTTCACGTTCCCACCTGGTGACAATCAGAAAAAAATCAAAGGGGTTACCGAAGGAGAGTTGATGAGGGGGGTTCTAAAATATATTAGGCAGGGGACAGGTCAAGTTTCCTGGATAGTTTCAGATATTGTGAGTATAGAGGCTAAGAGAATGGTCACCAATCTAGACTTGACGTAGACACCCACACATGCACAGACCCAAAGAACAGATCGAGTCTCCAAAACCCACTCAGAGGAACCCGTAGACTTGTAGAGACCCATTGACGAACACTGCAGTGGGGCAGCGGCGCATGCTGGAAGCACTGAGCTCTTGGAGTGGAACGAGCAGGCTGGAGGCAAGGGGTGGTGGATCACAAACTCAAAAACGTCATTACCTGCGGGCATTTGAGATGGCATAATGGCAGTACAGCAAGTGAACAAATGTCATCTGTACAGGGATTGTTATCGCCCAATACTGACTACATTGGTTTCCCTCACATGGTGGTGAGGTGTTAACTACCTCGCCTGGTGCAGAGGAGGTCGTGGGTTTAGTCCCGACCCTGATGCCTGTATATTTGGATTGTGTAATCTACCCCGTGGTCGTGTGAATTTTTGTTCGGGTCCTCCGGTTTTTCCCTCCACATTTAGAAACATGCATTTAGAGTATTTGGTTGTTGAGCCAATTCATTGAGCTATTATTTGTGATAGCCAGGTCGTGTCTGAAAAATGGCTACTTAGCTTAGCGGGCCTTACTTGGTAAAATGAAAAAAATGTTGTTAACTTTTTATAGACGCTAATGGAGTTGGCCAAACATCAAGGTATAGGGCAACAGCTTGGAAAAATGATGACGCCTGTTTTTTTGCCATGTGGCTATTCAGGCAGTAGATTAATTTGGTTGCAAGGACAAGAACCTTGCCTCCTAGCATTCTATTTTGTTTTTCAAGTTGTGGGCACAAGCCAGGTAATACTCCTATAGCTGTGCATTTACAAGGCAGTTGTAAGACCGAACCAATAATCACAGTCTTATACTAGTCCGAGTGTGTACTGATAACACACAGTCATAAGCTCTTTAGAATAACAATCGCGTTTGTAGTTGGCTGCAACATTTTCTCAGACTCAAGAATGGATCACGAACATATATCTTATCTTAATATATCTTATATAGTTCCTTAATTAAGGGGCATTATACATCATTAACAATAGTATAACAAATGAATGTAATGGTGGAGAAAATGTGAATAAAATCGATGAGACGAAGCAATGGGCAAATCTGTGATGCTGGAATTTTGTGAAAGCTAAATGTATGGTCGAGCCACAGATTCAGGAGGAAAAATGTGGATTCTGTCATGGTCGTGGAACAATGGACCAGCTCTTATCCCTCTCACAGATATTTGAGGGGTCGTGGGAGTATGCTTCTCCAGTCTCCCTCTGCTTTGTAGACTTGGAGAAAGCATATGACTGTGTTCCCCACAATATCTTGTGGAAGCTGCTGTGGGAGTATGATGTGCCGGTGCCGCTTTTGTGCATGATCTATTCCCAGAGTGAAAGCTGTGTCATTATTCTTGGTGTTAAATCAACGTCATTCACTGTGGGTGTTGGAGTCCGCCACGGGTGTGTCTTGTCTCCACTCCTGTTTGTGCCTTTCGTGGACAGGATATCAAGGCTCAGCCGATGTAAGGAGAGTGTCCAGTATGGGTGCATGGAGGTGGCGTTGCTGCTTTTTGCAGATGACGTCCTCTTTGCCGCATCAGTCTGTGATCTCCAGCGTGCACTTTAGCGGTTTTACGCCGAGTACGAAGCGGCTGGGATGAGGATCAGCACCTTCAAATATGAGGTCATAGTTCACTCCTGGGAGATGGTGGAT